TGGCCAGGCAATTGTAGCAAGCCCAATGTTTTTTTGCAAATATCTTCTTAGCTAGCTATACTCTGCTGGGTATCTTGACTGCCCGAGAGGAGGAAGTTTGGCCCTTCGCAGTAGAGTATCCATTTTCTTTATTAGGCACAGAATCTGTTTACACCTAGTGTGCTTTAGGGGGTGACTTGTTGAGGTGCGTGCCAGTAAACCTCGCATTTGGCCCCCTGGAGTGCCCCTGAAATTCATAGTGGTGGAACCAGGCTGAGTGTGGAGAATGGGAGGCATCAAATCAATGTTATTAATTCAGGTAAGAATCTCTTCACCTCATTAAAATCTGAAACGTTTCAGAACAGCATTGTACTTTTAATAGAATCAGTCAAGTTATGGTAAGGTTTTATTCTGCCTTTTTGAGTAGCTCTTATTGTTCTAACTCTGACATACTAAACTGTTGGCGTTTGTATAAGCTGTTAAACATCTGCGTCTTTCATTTCAGAGCTGGCTACATTTCAGTACTGGATGAATGATCCCTATATCACAGCTAATAAGTGTTTTGGGATCCCAAGTATACGCTCTTTGGACAGCACCACAAATGTATGCAATTCTATGAAATGTATCAGTGAGTACTATTCTCAAGAAGCTGCAGCCTAAGAGATCCCATAGGACAAAGGACACAGAGAAAAGTAATTGATAGTAATGAACTTGTTTGTGCATGTGTCACCACTTGTCTCTGCTGAATAAAATCAGAAGTGTTCAACACTTCATTAACATAAATTACAGGGTTCTATTCTTCTGAAGTGAGACAATAAGGCCTACACCTGCTAGTACTGTGAAGTTCTTCGTGATCCCAGCATGCAGCTCACTGACTGACATCATAGACTCAAGTGGTCTTGGATTTGTCCCAGTATCATGAATGTTCATAAATAGAACTAGTCTCATCTGTCACAGTTCCACTGGAATCAGTGGAAAGATACCATGGTAAGACAAATGATGTTAAGTAAATATATAGAATGGGATCACAACACTATCACAGTGAATGCTAACTCTGTTTTAAACTTACCTGAGGCAGGACTTTAACTTAATCAGCCATAAATAGTGTACAAGATGCCTATTTCCTGTGTGAGTACAGACTACCAAGATGATTCTTGGTTCTTGGGACTGGTCTCATTACTGAGACTGGTTTTACCAGAGCAATCTTTTTTTTTTTTTTTTTGCAGTTTTTGCACTGCTTCCTGAAGAAGACAAAGAATCTGCACAGTTTTGCACCAACAGTGGTTCCCAATAGTTTGACATGTTTGTTCAAGTCATGGTGATGTGAGTTGATAGGGCCAGTGTGTACCACAAATCTGTACTTCCTCTGTTTTCCAGGTAGAAAGGAAAGGGTGCTCTCATGACATTTTCCATTATTACTAAACTTATTAAAAAAAAAAAAATATGAGAACAAAAATTAGCTCAGTTGTTTCTGTTAGAGGTGCTGTAGTGATCTGATCTAATGTTAGCTTTGTTATTCCTGATCACTGCCATCCTCCTTTCCCTTTCACCCCACCCAAGTGGCTGGGGCTGCACCAGAGAAAGGCAGAAGTCTGCTGATTCCTCTTGCAACCTAGCTAAGGTGCAGCCCTTTACAAAGAGACAGTAAATTGAAATAAATTGAAGTAAGTCTTTGTCATAGGATAAAGCAAAACCCATCTTTTCTGAAGAGGCAGGCCTTTCTGTGGTTGAAATGCTCTGAGCTGTAGAAAGTTGGAAAACTTCCGTCTGCATGGCAGCATGTCCCACAGTCACAGGTTGGTTGATGGCCATGAATTCTACATGCTCCTTGTTTCATTGGGGAATGCTGCACTTCCTCAGTCTGTGTGGTAGGTCAGAGACCCTCAAAGTGGGAGGAGGGTAGTGCTGATGGAAGGTGAGAAGTGATGTATTGAAATGGCCATTTTAAAAACAAATCAGAAAAACCATGAAGAGAATTTGAGAGAATGTCTCAGATGACAGGGACCGAAGGAGAGTCAAATAATCTCCCCAGCTATGGTTCTGTTGTCAGTATTTGCAATTTCTATTCTTTAGGCTTTCTTCCAACTGGGGAGGCACCAGCCCTGTACGAACATGTCATCAGAGGTTTCTGCTTAAGGGTTTCTTTTGTAGATATATGCAGCCACACTTTCAATTGTGCTTCAAAGCTGAGCAGGACCCTGTACTGCAAAGATACTATGGGGTTCCCTGGGAGGACTGGCATGGCAATTCCAATTGCATGCCATTTCCCTACTTGTTGTAGGGTCTTCTGTGGGGGCTGACTGGCTATGTGCCATTTTTTGTGTTACCAAAGAAAGCAGTGCTTTCTCACGTGTGTTTTAAAATAAAAATTTCACCATTTGAAAGCAGCATTTGCTAGCAGATACCACATGGGGGGGTGTCTGCAATACAGGAAACTCCCTTTGTATTTATTGTAGGAAAGCAGTACCTCTAAATGACTTTGGCTGCCAAGTAGGTAAATAATGCAAAAGTGTCACAGAAATGCAAACTAGCTTTTATGATGCAATTAGTGTACTTATAAATCATGTTGTGTGAAGACATCCCTCACCCCCCCCCCCCCCCCAGAAAAAGGAATAAAAGGAAAAAGAGGAGGAAAAAGAAAGCTAAGTATAAAACCAATCAGGTTCAGAGATGCCTGCTCTTAGAGACATCTGCATTAAGCATATAGGTAAATGGAAATCCCTTGCTGGCTGCCTGGTTAATTGGCATTGAAATACTAGGAAGATGCTCATGTAGCTCTTAACACTTAATTGTTCCCTTTTTTAACAACTTCATGACCTGTTTAATTCACACACAGTTAAATAAGTATTAGTTAAAGCAGTTTATCAGTTACAGCCCACTGCCTCTTCTCTTACTTGCTTAATGTGCTTCCTCACCCTTGGTTTGCTTTCTCTTTTTGCCCTTTCTCTCTGGTGATCCTATTTATCCTCCAAGCACACTTTGGTTTCTTCCTGGAGCTCACGCCCTGCTGGTGCTGCCTGCTGTTCCCTGGGTCCTGGGGCAGCCTGGCTGTGGTGGTGCTGTCTGAGAATGCATGTGGGTCTGGAGCCTTGTACTTGTTTGGAGCAGACACTAGAGCAGCTGCTGGGTTATCAGTAATAATTGGGGTATCTTACACTGTTCCTTCTTTCATCTTTTACTTCAGAAACATGTGATCATCTCTGATTGCAACTCTGATTTTTCCCGAAAACACCTTGGTTCTAGTCCTTCAGTGGACTTGTTTCTTTGATATGTTTGTATTCTGCAGTGGTGGTAAAGGTCTACTCCTTTTTGTTCTCATCTTATTTTGCCTTCCATCCTTAGTGCATGTGCTGCTGTCTGATGCTTGTTTTTTTTTTTTTTTTTCTGTCTAAAAAATTATTTTTCAAGCAGCTGTTCAATAGTAGGTTTTTGTCTGAGTTCATGTGCCATGACACCAGATCCTAGGTACTGTTATGAGTTGAAAAAGGAGAGGCAACAAAAACCGCTCACCAGATCTGGCATATATATTTAGTACAAGCTATGGAAGTTAAATGAGGGTGCAGCAGTCCCTGCTCTGTGCATTGTTTTATTTGGGTTATTACTTCCTTAGCAAAGGATGGTTTGGTATGTGTGGTGTGCCTCAGGGACTTTACCTCGAGTGAATCTGGAATCATTACAAAGTGATAAACAAAAAGCAACGCATGCAGGAATCAATCACTCACCTTCAAAATGTGTCTTGGGACAACGAGTGGAAGTGGTTTCATAGGAATATTGTAGGTTTGGACAGGAGGATACTGACAGAAGTTGGAGGGGATATTCAGGGAAGGAGAATACATTCTTAGACCTTGGTGTGTAGCCAAAGCACCTGGCATGTCATGCTCCTGGACTTCTGGCAGAAATGTTCTTGGATCTGTAGGAACCTGAAGGGTTAATGTAGTGCTCTGAAGCCTTTCCTGAAGGATGGTGCCTGCAACAGTGCAGCTCCTGGGGCAAGGTTCAGGCCTCCAAGGAGGAATGCTATGGAGGGACTTGGCCCCACTGTTTCTGCAAGCAAATTCATGTTTTTCTTTGGAGGACTGCCTTAGAAGGAAGGTTTCTGGCATTTCAGAGGTTCTTCCCTTGTGGGATTGTAAGTGTGGCTATTCAGAGCGAGACATAACATGGGATGCTAAAAAAGATGTAAGAGGCTTTTTTTTAAAAGCACATTCTCTGGGTTTGCTGGGCTCTGCAAACAAAAAAAAAACCAAAAGGCTTCTACATTCAAAGATGCACCTTTCTGTGATCGTTATCCTTATTATCCTTATTTACATAGCCTTGCTCATGTGTATTTTGGAAGACTAATTTATTCTGGGATTTATGTGATTGAGTCCAAAAAGTGGTCCTATTTAACAAAGGAGAAAGTATTGAATGCCACTTGGTCTGAATTCCACATCCTGTGGAAAGACAACATGGGATGTGCCAACCCATGATGCTCCTCCCCCACCACTACTATTGTCTGCAATGAAGGATGGGATTTCTTGAGAATGATGGGCAGGAGGAATGAAAAGGAATGGGTTCTCTTCTGGACTTTGGGACTGAGTGTCTTGCACCTGGTCATAAATTCACATGGCCCCTCATAAAAGGGGAGCAGGTTACTTTCTATTTGTTCTGAAAACTTGCTTGAATTTATGTGCACTGGAAACCTACTGCAGGCAGGTAGGTTTTGTTTCTTCCTTTTGCATTTGTGTGTGAAAGCTGGAATATTTTAACCAGTGTTCTTACAGGAACTCTCTCCGGACAGATATGACGGTGGATTCACTTCTACATGCACAGTGGAGAGGGAGTCAAAACCTTCTCCCTTGCATGGCTGAGTGCTTGGCTGCAGATGGGTGGCCTTCTAACAAACCTAATTACTTCTGGTTTTGCATGAAATTGATTTCCATGCAAGGATGCTGAGTTGCTGTGTGACTCTCTAATGGCTTTTCTCTCTTCTCTCTCTTCTCCTTTTCTCCCTTCTGCTTGCCATGAAAATACTTCAACAGATGTCAATCACATTCCAGGTAAGTATTACCTTCAGCAAACTGAAGGGCTGCTCTTTGCAGAGTTGGTTGTGGGCAGTTACAAAGGGCAGAAACCTCATCTGGCCTCCTGGGAGCGTTCAGCACAGATCTCCATCCTGGATTTCACAAGGTCTGGATTGCAAAGTCTATGATGAAAGGAAGACTTTGTGACTTTCACTGCTATAAAACATTCTTCTTCTGAAATTGAGCTGTGTTGGTCAGTTAAAGGGATGTTTTCTGAATGAAAATGGCATTTAAAAAGTTGGTTGTATTGCTAATAAGATGGCATTAAACACTGCATTATATATGCAGTTTTTCTTATATGTATATGTGCAGGAATACAAATCTAGCTCATCTTCCTGCTCCTAGCATAGTTTGCTCTGTTTGCTAGTCCTGCTGAAAACCACCTGGTGTTCATTTCCCCTAACAAAGGGTTTTATTGTTCTTATTTTAGGTTTAAAAAAAAAAAAAGTGAGGATGTTTCTGGCCAAATGTAAATGTATGATTTTACTTAGGTCTGAAGGCTTTTGTTCCCTACAGTGTGCTAATAATTCATTTAAAAGAATTGCGTTGCTTACTTGGGGAATTCTTCCCATAGGAAACATTTTACCACACAGAACTCCAAGCCTCCCTCTCTATATTGTTTTCTCATTGTTGCATGGATCCAGTTCCTCCAGCTTTAGCTACAGGAGTTAATTGAACTAGAGTACCTTACTCTGCTGGCCACTGAAGCTTAGGAAACTCTTTTTTTTTTTTTTTTTTTTTTTTTTCTCATGCTCAGGCAGCACCACCTGGTTTATCATTGTGTGAAATGGAAATGAGAGCCAAGCAGTAGTGTTTCTAGGGGTGTGGTGGGATGATGAGAGAACTGAAGCTTTTTCTTTTTCACTTTATGCGTAGTATTTGCTATACCCAACTTGAGGCTGGAATGATTTTTCCTTTCAGTTTGCTTCTTTTCTACCAATAGACAATTAGGTTTTGTGGAACTTTTCAGAAAGGTGCAGTGAAGGCCAGCAGCTTGAGTAATTTCAGTATATTTTTTTAACCCTTGGGACTGCTGTCACTTGTCACCTTGTTGTACCAAGATCCCTTGCAGTCTGTGTGCATCTTAAGTAACAGTAATAGGAATAAAAGTGGCCCAATGGCAGATGTTGCTTGGCATGCCTCAGAAAAAAAGGCTCTGTACACCATAACCTGCAGGGGCTGAACATGCATCTTTCCTGCTCCAGTCCAAGGTGTGCAGGGATTCCTGTCACCCTTGGGATCTGAGGATCTTCCAGAACAAGCACCAAAGGCTCAGTGCCACAGGTCTTCCCCACCACAGCCTGAAGCTGTTGGTGTCTGTGGCAGTGGAGAGTGCTTGAACTGGGAAGGTATGGTGTTGCTATGCTCTACCAAAACACAGCTCTCTTATTTGTGATATGCTGCGAGCAAGCGTTGTCTTGCACAACAGCAGGGCCATCTCCAAGGTGTGCAGAGGAGAACTGCATCACTGATAGGAGCCCAGGCAGAGAGAGGCAGCACAACAAAGCCGGGACCATGCTGTGGGTCCCACGTAGTGGTGCATCTTTCTGTTCTGCAGATGGGTTCTTCTGCCTCACTTCTCCCTTATCCTTTTCATTTGTATTTTTGGATGTACTATTTTTATTCTCCTAATCACTGATACATGTGTTCATTCTTACTGCTTGTGTACTTTCTCACATGGCTTTGTAGTCACACTTGGATGCTCTCTTCCATGTACTGTCGGAGTCATCTGTGTCTGTTCTCATTCCGACAGCTTCCCACCTCTAATTATAAGGCTCTGTAGCTGCTTGCTCCTAGACTTCATATCCACCTGCTCAGCTCCTCTTGGGAAGAGCACAGCTGCTGCTGCATGCCTGGGCTGCCCCCATGGGTTTTGCTGTGGACCTTCCCTCTACTGAGCTGTATGGAGCTTTTAGTTCTTCCCTTTCATCTAGCTACCCAGGTTGTGAGGATGGAGCCACAGAGTCCTGCCAAAATGGTTTCTTTAACCATTCACAGTTTGCAATATAAATTAAGGATTTTATGATCTACTGGTAGCTGTTTACCCACAGGCAGCAGAACAGCTGTAAAGGGACCATTGATTAACTGAATGAATATTCTTGTCAATTGGACTGGTCAGAGCTAATCCTTCAGTAGAAGATGGTTGTGAATTGGCTGGGACTGGCTGCAGTGGGGACCACAGCAGAGGGCTCTGCTGGATGCAGTTCCTGCAAGGTGGTCTTTTTCAAAGTGAACAGAGATGTAGTAGGGATGAACTGAATGGACACAACCCTAGGAATGATTTAGTTAGGGTCCTGAGGAGAAATTAGTCATTGTTTGCCTGAGCAAGACTTCAATAAGGATGCTCATGCTTGTCAAGGGCCTCTGCATACTAGCAGTTTTTTCATCTGGTTTTTAATCTTTCAAGCTCTGTTTAAGTGGTACCCATATGCTGAGTTTTGCTTCCTTGAATGTGAATTCTGCTTCTTGGGCATGAATACACGTGAATTGTGTGGCAGACTATTTGAGGTTTCCTATTTGCAGAAGGTATTAGATACCAAACAGCAGAAACCACCTGTGCCATGCCTTCAATGGTACTTGCACAGGTGGTCAAAAGCTCTTTGTAACAGCATATATTCTTTACAGATGCTACCACTGTTCTTGTTTTGCATGTCCTTTACAGATGCACTGTCCACAAACAGGATTCTCTTGCACTGAAATGTTAATGTTTTTCAGTTCTATGCCCATCCGTTTGTGAGAAAATAGCATTAGTGATGACTGTGTTTAGAACAAGAATTCCAGGTCCAGAAGCCTCTTTCTTTCAAAGCAGATGCTGTGGAACAATTTTAAGAAACAAAGCTAGCATTGCTCTTTTTCTGGTATATCTTCATAGTTTCTGGTGGTCACTGCCCTAAGGACTTCCTGACCTGACAATGTTGCATCTGAATCATGGTGTATTTACAGTCATCTAATGACCTGTTTTCTTTGGACGCTTTGAGGCTTTTGTTCCTTACCTGCTTATAAATATTTTTCCTGTACAGTAGCCTGTTGTTTAGTTAGGCAACTGTGGAAAGTAGTTCCTTTTGTTGTTACAGCTGTTAGTTGAGAATTTCATTCAGTGACTCCTTCTCCTTGTTTACTGGCTAATAGGGGAAAAAATGCTGTGTTCACCTGTTCTGTGTTATTTGGGAATTAATCTCTATATATTGTCAGGTATTTCATTTCTAAGCTGAGGAATCCTAATCTGTGCTTGATAGTACTGCCTTTCCTACTTGTATGCCGATTTGGTCAGGTGCTCTGATTTACACTGATTTACATCTTATCTGCTGTCCAGAAAATGCATTCACCCTCAGCTCTTGCTTCCTGCATATGTTCTCTTCTGCATGCGGTCATCTTTGCTAATACTTGCATCTGTATTTTCATGCTTTCAAACACCAACCTCTTCCTAACCCTCCTCATGTGATTTGATGTCTACTTCTGCCCATGGATCACGAGATAAATGACTTTCTCTTCAGCTCCCGTTTCACGCTATTTCTCTCTTGATCACTCAGACTTGATGTCACTCATGCTGACTTACTGCTCCTGATAATGACAAAACCTATTCTGGAATTATATAGCAAGGGAAGCAAAGGGGATGGAAAAGTGGAGCTAGAACAGCTGCTATGTGTAATTGGATTGGAAGTGGGCCTCTAGCTACAATAACAGAACTGTGCTCCCAGCTGGCTCCTTGCAGGCCCCTTGGCTGCTGAGCACCTCATAGATGAATCAAACAAAAATGACTGCTCCCCAGCCTGTGCTGCTGCTTGCTTGGTTATATGAAATGGGTGTTGTACATGCCAGCAGCCAGCAAATCAGGTCAACCTCTTGGCAGAGCTGATCTGTCTAGCAGGTACAAGATTTGAACTAGATCTCAGAATGATTTTTTTCTTTAGCTGTTTTTTCACATCACTCCATACAAGGCTTTTGCTCCTTATCTTGAGTCCCATCCTTTGGCCTTGCTGGGAATGCACAGGTTTTGGTATGTGGGTTCTCTTAGGGTGCTTCCTTGCTGTTTGATATTTAGAAAACCTTGAGATGCTTATTTTATGCTAAATACCTGAGGGAAGAAACTCTCCTTTCCAACTAAAAGAGGGAATGGCTGAGGGAAATGAGGTAGGAAGGCTCAGAGAGGAAAGAAGCTTGTTTCCTAAGCAAGAACTTCTTCCAGAAATTTAGGATAGGAAGTGTAAAGAACAAAGCCCATCACTTATCAGAGTGCTCTCCTTTACTGAATGTGTTATTTTTTAAAAAACCATGGTTTGCATTATTTCTTCACTAACTCCATAAAGGACTTGCATGTGTGTGCTGGAGTGGGAGACACATACTGCATCTGTTACTGTTTGAATGGGTCAGGGGGACTGGTACCCAGGAAAGCATCACTTGTGGATAAGTCTGCCTCTGGGGAGAGCTGGCTGGCTCTGCTGCCTGCCGGCCTAATTTCCCTCCATTATGAGCTTTTGAGCTATTCATCTGGCAGCATCATTACAAGGGAGTCTGCCCACCCTAACAGAACAATTCAGCAGTGTGCACACCCACTCACATGTGCTCACTCCCAGAGCATGGGCCCAGTGTCATGGGACAGGCTGTAATTAACTAGTTGAGGGAGTCCATCTTTTTTTTTTGTTGCTGTAATCTGCTGTCACTGTCAGCTGTGCTTTGTTCTCTCCCCACCTTCTTAGGTTGTAGTGGTTTTGTTTTTCCTTTTTAAATGTTAAGTGCCCAAATGCAGTGCTGAGGGGAAGTGAGGGATGAAGTTCAAACTGGCTTCAAGGTTTCCTTCATGCCCTCTTCCATTCTGCCGATTGCCCCTAGTGAATTCTTAAAGACGAGTCTGCTGCTTAATTACATCGGTCTTTCATACTATTGTACTCTGAAGTTACTTTTAAAAGTGTCCTTCTGGCTTCATAAGAATCCAGCATTGGCCCTTGATACTTTATACAATTAGTGCTACTTAATTCTACTATTTTGATATGGAAAGCAGATGGCTCAGAGTGTTTTTTTTTTTTTTTAAATGTAGTTCTTTGAAGCATTGCTTTGAGATCAAGGGAGATTAATATTAACCTTTAAGAGAATTATATTGATTTGGTAGTAGGTTAAAGAAATATATAAAAAACAAAAACTCCCAAGTCTGAATAGGAAAAGTCGTAGCAGGCATAGATCATGGCCAGTAAGCAGAGTTGTATGATAAGCAGATGCTTATTGTCTAAGAAACCTGTTGAGAGCCTCCCTCCAAAGCCCTTATTGTGGTTCACGTCTGTAGTTCAAGAACAGCAAGTCACCAGTTCCCTGGCTTTGATGTTATGTTTTGAACTTGCTGCCTATCATTTTTCTTGGGAAGTAGCCAATAGATTACTGTAGGACTGATAACATCTGTTAAGAAAAAACTCAGCTCTTGACCATGGTGTTTCATGCAAGTCTGCTCCAACCTTTTCCCAATTGTGTGCTGCTGGATTACAGCCCTACGGCTTCAGCTGGGGCTTCTTGTTGGAAAAAATCTAGGATTAAAAGGGAAGGCTGAAACATATTTCACCCGAATTTAGGAGAAAATTCAGATTTCATATAGCATTCCCCTGGAATGGGTTGCCTGTTGACCCAAGCTGTGATTGTACTTGTGAATAACATGTTTTGGGGCTTGACGAGTTCAGTTAGTATCCTGAGTTGGCCGAAAGCTTTTCTAGCTTTACAGTGAATGCCCAAATAGCACAGTGATAAATGTCCCCAGTGTTGTGGCAAAATCTGGTCTAGTTTTTAGGTCTGCATCTGCACACTCCTCAGACCTTTTGCACTTACTGCATGCCCTCCAACAAGAAGTGCTACCCTATACCACCTGAAGATGACTTTGATTTTTCTGATATGAAAATATTTTAGTACCTTGTTGTATCTTGAAATTGATGCAAAGGTGAAACAATGATGTCAGTTCATGTTTTGTGTTGATTTTACTGTGACTAATTCAAGGTTTTTGTTGTACATGCTGCAAATGTCACAGATTTTAGCTCCCCAAAGTTGAAGGTTTCAGTTGTTAATTATATTTTACTGGGATAAATTCATTCATTTTCGTGCCTACTTTACAATGCAAGGAAGGAAAGTTTTCAGATGAGGAGTATTGGTAAATTGTTTCATTACATTATTGTATCTAATAATGAATCTGGAATTCTGTTGGTGTTAATGTTAGCTAAAACAGGGATCAGTATCAGTGGACAAGTTAAGAGCTCATACTTCCTCTCACAGAGATTCACACCAAGCCCGTGCTGTGGGCCAGAAGGGCAAGTGTGTTTGGGAAGTGTTCTTGATTCTGGGCTACAAGCGAGGGACTTTGGACTGTGTCTGGCTGATGGGCCTGGTAGAAGAGGCATACAGCACTGAATTTCTGAGGATGGGAAGAGATTATATTGACATTCCTGACATTTGGGGATTTTTATAGCTCCTCTTGGCTTCTTCAGAGAGAAAGAGGTCACATGTAAGATGTGATTCAGAGTGCTTAGTGCAGGTTTCTGCCATCTACTCTGTGGAGATTTCTCTTTGTTGGTGTCCATCATCTCCAACTGGACACTGCTGCTACTGCACCTCTGTGCTTTGTTGGTCCTAACAATTATACTTTTTTCTTCTCCTGGCCTTTTACAATGACTTTTGTATGACTTTCAAGCACCCGGTTGGGTTGGGCTACGATTTGCATTTCAAGAATGATGGGCTCAGTGGCCATAAACATAGGCACAAATACAACCTACCCTCTTAGCACAGAAATACTAATCACTGAAATTATATCTTGTAACATAGAGCAGAAATACATCCTACAATATCAAATCTGCTATGTTTATTTATAGCCAAAACTAAACTAAAAACCATCGAAAGCTATGTTGTGCTTCTGATTATTTTTCTAAATCCACAGTAATCTTCAAGAACGTTAAGGTATTTGCATTCCTTAGACTTTACAATTATAAATCCCTTTATCTGGCTTGGAGTTCTCTGTGGGTGAACATACTCTTGGAATGATCTGGGTTTTAGATTTCTCAGCAAATGCATAAGAAAAAAAAATACAAAGGGGAGATAAATAAACAAATTCAAACTCAGCATGCTGCTTGTTGAAAAATTTAATTCTAATAAATTCATTTGACCTCTCAGTCTCCATGAAATTAAAGAAGTCGCAGCTTTGTTTGGTCAATAAACTCACTTCAGGTAGGGATGACTGTGCATAGCTATGCATGCACTAAAATCTCTGCTGTATTAAGGGCTGCGTGAGGTAGGAGATGTAAAGGAGGAATCAAGCTGAAGAGAAGGTCAGGGAACTATGTGTGGGAGGTGTCACTCATGGCTCAAGTTGATAGGACTTCGATTTTTGTATGTTTTGTATTTTGTTAGTTTCATGAGTAATGTGCCACATAATGGATAGGTCATCTGGTGTTTGATGGAAGAGCATGTTTTTAATAGTGTCTAAAGGATATTTGTAAAAAAAATACAGCTGTACAGTAAGCTGGGTGTGGAAATTGTTTGTAATTGGGACAAACAAGGTTATGTCAGAGTCATGAGAGAGAGAGAGACTTCAGCTAGCCCACAGACTACCACAGAGCTGGCAGTGACTGTCACCTCTGAGAACTGTATTGTTTCCTGACTATACCTTAAATTGTTAAACTGGTGTAGCTTTAGCTATAGAGTTCAGAATTTGCATCCTTGATTCTTAACAGAAAATAAATAAAAAAAAACAAGGTTAGATGTACTTTTAGTCCTTACCAGATCTGGTGTACTGGTGTGTGTGAGGAGTGTTGATCTGCTCCTGAAAATATGTGCTAGACCATCACATTCATGAATGAGCATAGCTTTGTGTGTAAGTGCACTTAGCCCAGATGTTTCCTCTGAGGCAGATGTCATTGAACCATGGCTTCCCTTTCACTGACCACTGAAGCTTTGAATTTCAGATCTCCAGTAGAAGAAAGTTATTTCTGCATCTCTCCAGAAAAGTCGATGCTCCCTGTTGGAGCTCCACTGAAGCTCTTGGGGTCTTCCAGTCCATGTAGCCATATGGATGTGCAGTGCCTCTGGAGTTGCTTCCCAGGGAATATGATGAAAGCCTGAGCTACCATTCTGCAAATGACAGCCCACTTCTGCCTGTGATGGAAGCTTTCCTGCTCAGTATGGAAAGCAGCACCTGAATACCTGTGTGTCCTTTGTGCTACACCCATACTTGATCTAGCTCAAGTATGTGAGCTCCAGTCTGAGAGGCACTGGACAGCAAATACATGTGTGCATGTATATAGCTGCCTCTTCTCTGTTTTGTTCCTTTTTTCTTACTTCCTCTTTCTTTTTTTCTCTCTTTCAAAGGTCTCTCACACCTGATGATGGGTGAACAAGGTATGTCCTTCTACTTTCTCTTTGTTTCGGTCACTCACTGTGAAAAGAGCTTTGTGCTTCTTCCCTGAGCTCAGCTTTGCATGATAAAAGGAGCCGGACTTGCTGGGTGCCAGTCAAACCATTTGCATTTTTGCCTGGGAACGTAGCTTCTTGTCAGCCTGGGACCCAGGAGTGAGAGTCTAGGGAGCGTGAAATGATTCTACTGACAATAAGGAAAGCTGTTTTCTCCCTCCATGCAGACCACCTGAGTTCCCATTTATTTCTTGTGCCAGCTGTAATGACTCCCACTCCTTGGAAAATGTAAACCTCAACGTTGGTCTTTAAGAGTGCAATTATTACAAAAAAAAATGTTAATGGCCTTCATGGCATGATCCTACTTCATTATGAATCCTGAGGAAAATTGTGTATAATGGCCTGTAAATCCTGTATCTGCAATTTAAAATAAAGAGAACACAGCACAGAGAAAAAACGGGTTAGAAGAAGAACAGGGGTAACCCCAGGCTGGGCTACAAATGGGATCTATGCCTGTATCAGAGTTCATGTTGTAATATTTCAGACTAGACCATGTTAGGAATCTGTTGTGGCATGATGGCATCATTGACCCCTTTTTGCATTAGTGGGTTGTGGAGCAAGAAGCTGATGAGCAGAAGTGAGGCAAAAAGGAGGTAATTCTATTTTCTTCAACAGTGTCAGCATCTTGCTTACACAGGTACGCAGGGAGGAGTTAAAGTATTGGTGATGCATTCTGATCTTGTGAATGCACCTGTCAGATTGTTGAAATCTTAGTTGAGGTGTGTGAGGAGAGAGACATGAGAACAGGACAGGGAGACTTGATTTCCAAACACTCTGTGATAGAAAGACCAGACTCGCAATTTGTCTGTGGAGAAAAAATAGGAATACTGCTTCTGAAGTCCACTGTGGCTTTTCTAGACTAGATGTACAGAATTGAATTTTTGCCACATCCAAAAAACACAGTGCCTGTGAAGGCTCAACAGTAAGTAGTTACTTGAATTAAAGGGGCATGATATCTCAATGAGACATAAGAGATACTGAGGACATAAGCAGTTGTTCTGTAGTTCAAGGCAGATGTCTCCTATGAGGTCATTAAAGCTTAAGAAACAGAAATGAAGCTGGAACTCAATGTTCAGTGAGTTAGCATTCCCATGTGGTAGGAAATTAGTCTCTTAGGGACCGGGTGTCAAGACCATGGTACTTGCTGTGTGAAACATCTGGCTAAGCTCTGGGAAGCAATGAGCTACTTCTGTGACCTCTTACTGTTCAACTGTAGTCATGGCTCTTTTATAGTCAAGAAACCACCCTTATTTGTCTACAATGTGCCAGGGAACAGTGGATTCTCTTTTCTTGCCAACCAGCTCATAAATATTCCCTTTTAATATTTAATCTCTACAAAAAAAGGTATAAAATATGTAAATGTATATATGTGTAAATATGCAATGTCAACATTATATACAAACACATTAGTTTTGGTAGATGAAATGTGTCTAGTGAATATATTATCACAATATTTATTTTTGTCTGTCCTATTCTGTCGTTTCCCTTGCTGTTTTGAATTTGATGTGGAATGGGGCATATCAGTGCTGTGCTATTGCATGAGAGCTTTGCATTTCTCAGTAGAAAATCAAGTTAAAGCCAAAGGGCTTAACCAGGCAGTTGCTGGTTTTGCAGTCACGTGTTTAAGCCTTGCTTTGTGCTTTAGTCGTGACTTTTCTTGTTTTTCCCTTAAGATTCTGTTTTGTTGGGTTTGGTTGCTGTATAACTATATTCATTTTCTTGTTTTCATATGTATGGCCAGAGGTGTAGTGATAATTTTTTTTTTTTTTTTTTAATGCTTCTTTCTCCTCTTGCCTACTCCATGATGGACACCTCTCTTCCTCCTCTTAACTGGATACGCACCTTCCTGTCTGTAGGTAGAAGTAAAGGTAGAGATTGCATTCTTTATAAGACTTCATTATTTGTAAATTGTTTGTCAATGGATAAATTGTACTTTTGTGAATGTGAATCATCTTGAAATGTAATGCTGTTGCTTTAAAAAAACATTTGGCTTTGTATTACGGAAGAAATTAAGATAAATGCTTTGAGGCCTTTCTCAGAGATATTATTTCCTGCCTGTGCAGGCTGTGTGCTGCCAGGCCGTCTGCAACTGATAATGCTGGGGCAAAGTGAGAGAGTCACTTGAATCAGATGGACCCAGGGCCTGTGAGCTGGTACTGGTGACTCTGCTGGGAATTTTGACCCTGGTGTGGGGGGAAGCAGGACCTACTTTTGTCAAGTGCTCTTCAGCCATGGAGGTCTTTGGTAGTATCATTTCTCCATCTCTGCTTTATTTTCCTCTCCCTGTGAGCAAAAAGATGTGTGGTTTTTTTTTTTGTTTGTTTTTTGTTTTTTGAAGGAGGAATTGAGTTGCAAAGAGCTGCAGAATAGACAGGAATGATCAGCATTGCAAAACAGAGAGCCCGTTTGCTCTGCAGCTCAGTACAGCACAGTGCATGAAGTGGAAAGGCTGCTGTGGGGCTTCAGACTTGCTTTTCAGCATTTCACACCTATCTCAAGCAAGCAGAGGGCATTCATTCATCCTTAATCAAAGCTGTCAAAAATGCAAAATGCTGCAAACCTGCTGTGGGTCTCCAGTTGGAGTGGAGGGTGGGAAGGGAGAAGATTAATTGATAAATTACTAGCACTGCTGCTAGGATAAAATCCATTTCTTCATCCTACTTTCCGATGAGATCAAGAGATTAAAAGGTTTTATTATGCTGAGGCTTACTCATCTTCAACTAATATACTGCTGAAGAGTCTGATCTATCTATCAGCAAGATTGGATCACATTGGAGGATGTTCATTGTGTCCATGGCAGTAGGACATTGGAGGATAAAGTGACTAATTGTACTATGATATATTTTGGAGGATATGACAACTCAGGATTTTTTTTCATCTTAAATTCTTTTGAGGCACTAGGATTCTCTTCCCACTTATTGCTACTCCCTCCATACCTGAATTCTGGGGAGCATCGTGGCTTATTTAACACTTCATGTTATTCTTCTTTATGAGGATTTGCCCTCTTATAACAAGTTTGTGTTGCTAGATTCTTTGTGATGGAGTACCTCACATAATATTATTTGTTTTGTTTGAGGTTGAAAAAATATTCTAATTTATTTTGTATCTTTTCTAACAAACATTGAAATGGGGTAAAAAAGTTATGAAATTAGTAGAATATTTTTTCGGAGGATAATACATGAGCTGTACTCAGAGCCATCTTAGCGAGAGGTGAGCGTCAAAACTTGATAATCACATATACACATGATTTAAAAAAAAGTGAGAACCTAAAGCTGTAAGCACACCATACAAAATGTTATTTTTATCAACACAGCTGCCAATAATTGAGTTAGCTGATGTGTGGCTTAGTGTGATTTAAGGGGAGTGTAGGTTAGGACAAGTTGTGTAAAGTGTGGTGTCAGCTTGTTTCTTCCTTTTCTCAGGTGGCATTTATGTTGCAGGACAGCATGTAGGACTAAATGAAAAGCCTCCTCTGAAGGAAAACTGCCACATGAGATTATATGGATGAGGATTATAATTTATAGTCTGCAATTAATTTGTATGTGCTAAAACAATTTATTGAGTCTCTAAGTGAAAATATTGTTTCTGTTCCCAGCTATGTGTAAATCTTAGCTATACTTACAGCAAGTGACTTCATCAGAGAACCGTCACTCTCTGACACATGATGTTACCTTCAGAGAACTCAAGCTGTATAATTCTGAACCCACATGTGGCCTTCAGCTCACAGAAAGCAGTAGCACGTGCTACCAGATTATAGCTGGAAGGTTCATATTTTTGGCATTCTCATAGTTGTTAGCAAAAACTGGCAGCTGCCATGTCTCATGCCATGTGAGCGGACAAAAGGTATTATGTATTTGATTTCATAATGCCTCTTCACAAGGTGTAGCAGCCTGTGACTTTGCATTCATCATTTGCAATGAATCTTTCATTATTTGCTTCCACTTAGTAAATAGCCTTCTTTTGCATCCTTCGCTTTTAAAAAATTCTTTAAGTTCTTGAAAAGCTGAAGAAGATGAAGTTGTAGGTATTTTAGGGTAATGGCTGGTGTCATTGAATAAAGAAAAGCATCTATGCATCACTTATATTGAGTTTACATTAAAATTTATGTGCACTGTTCATGTTTTTATTAAGTGTATGAAACTGGTTACAGAGATGAAGTAAACGATGGTCAGTAAGGATTTAGTTTGAACTGCTGAATGCAGCTGTTCTCCTGAAGATAACTAAGGAGCAATTATTTTGAGTTTATCTCTAACAAGAAAATGGTACTGAAGGAGATGGTAAATATCCAGCTGTAATTTGCTATTGAAGTAGAGGTAACAGTCACATTCTTCCATATCGTTTGCTCTCTTGACAGCCTTTGTTAAAGAAATTATGATTTGTGCTTTTGCTGTCCTTTCTTTTTCATATATATGTAGTGGTTTTTATTTTTTCACCACTCTTGGTTTGGATCTTGCTTTTACTGAGATTGGTGCCTCCAAAGGAAATCGGCAATATTCTTGCTGGGACACTGCACTTCCGTGGTGTTGCTCTCTTGGGAGTGAGTTTCAGCTAATTGATGAAGTCCTGTGTCTTCTTGAAGGAAACTGTGAATAGGACTGCATTTAGAGAGCCTAGATTTCCCCAAACGCTTAAAGTGCCCTTTGTGTCCTCTGAAAGAAAGAATGACAGTGAGTTGCGCTGGTTGCTGGATACCTGCTCAGCCTGCAGGTTCTGCCCTAAAGCTCTGGGTCCTTCTTCTAACATCACTGTGTTCAAAGTGACAAACTGTGAGGCCACATGCTGATTTTTCAACACAAAGCAGGTTTTTCTCCGTACTTTTTCTTCCTTGTCAGAGATAAACAATGAAGTACTTGCATATTTCCTGGATTGGGTATTTTGGTTGCATGTTGTGTAGACCAGAGGTTACTGTCAAGTTCCTCACTTAGCAC